GCGGTAGTACCATAGAAAACAAATTTAATTTATAATTTGCTTTTTCTAAAATTTATCAAGAATAAATTAAATTTAGCAATATGTAATTATCAAACTGTAATTTTTCAAATCTACATATGCTGCAAATTAACTAATCAATCTAGTTCACTAATATTATATTCCACTTTTATTTTAGTCTTGAAGGGTGCAGCAGTCAGAAACTATACTCTAAAATCTAAATCAGAAAAGAAAAGTATATTTTAAAAACAACGGAAAAGTAAAAGAAGAGAAACAAAGCTGCTCATGAAAAAAATGTTCTTTACACATAAGTACTAGCTAGTAATAGTTTGAAATAATTTCCAAACAAATTAAGGCCCAGAAGTACAGAAATATATTCTCACTTTCTTTGTAGTAAAGTGTATATCCTCTCATTCATCTAATATCTCTAAGCAAAGACAGGCTTTGCCTTTAATTGACTCCTTTCCTTTCACCAATTTTATGAACAAATAATGTTGAGTTTTGTGGGGTAGCATCAAAGCTTAATTTCAAAATCCTTGGCTAGGTGAAAGAATGTAGATAGGGTTCATGTGATCCAACAGTAATATTTACCTGCTCTGCTACATATAGAAGATCCCTGTTCAATTGACCTTATATCTAATCCTCATGTATGTTTACATGTGTAGCAATGTGTGCGCATCTCGCCTATTTCATCATATACCTATTATTTTTTCATTAATAAAAGTATCAGTTAATTCGGTCACCACGAGTGAGTTTACCTTCTTTTGGCAATTAAAGAAGTTCTATTAATTACTGAGTAGCTGTACAAAACAAGGGCAAAACAAACTAGTTCACGCCTCTCTAAAAAATTGTATCTTATTCAACTAGAAACCTTAAAACATCCACACACATATAGTGGACATCAAAACACACCTATAATAAACAAATAAACTCAAATAATTTTCTGTTGCCTCTGAATCTTATACACAAATAAGTCTTCAGGTCGAGGTCATGTAGTATTGCCTCCCTGCTTTTGGCTTTGTGTTGATACACTCGATTATTCCTCTCAATCCATATTTCATATATAATAGCAGCAAAGCATGCCTTTAGCAGAACACCTAGTGCAGTTCTTTTAGCTATCTCAGAAACTCATCGCCACTCCAATTTCCAATTCAAGATGGTTCTTTGTTACTTCATCCAACTTAGCATATCTTGCCAGATTGATCTTGAGTAAGGACATTCAAAAAAGATATGTAAAGAGGTTTCTAGGCAGGAGTTACATAACATACATACACACACTATCCACACTACTAATGCCGCAACTAAGTAGGATATCTCTGGTTCTTAGTTTACCAAGCAATGCTAGCCATAGAATGAATACGTGTTTAGGACCAGCAGCATTGTGACAAGTTTATCTTTGCCGGAATGTAACTGTGGTTTTCCGTTATCTTCATCTCACTTAATGGATCACTAGGCCATACCTAGTGGCAGAGCTAACTGCTAAGTGGAGGAAAGAGGAATTAAATTGAATCCCTTTTATTGAAAAATTATATCATACAAATAATGCAATAACGATTATTTTATGTATATATAGCCTGTTGAATCTCATTTATAAGAAAAACGTTGAGAGAAGTGGCAAAGCGATTCAACAATTACTTTAGTTCACATGTTTAATTGTTTTAGTTAATCTTCTTGTATGAGCTTCTGGCTCAGCCTATGGCTGCCCAACGGAACGGGACCAAATAAACAGAACGGGACGGGATGATATTTAGCCGGGATGGTGGCGGGATGGGCCTAAACGGTAGGCTCATCCCATCCCGCGCTAACAAACGGGACGGGACGGTTCAGGCCCCTAAGTGGACATTTTTTTAAAAAAAATAATTATTTAAGCATTAAATTTGGCAACGGCTAGTTTTTTTACAATGACTAAATTTTTAAAGTTTGCAACGGCTAATGTTTTGACTTATTTAATAACTTAAAACTTAATAAATTATAAAGAAACTAAGTAAAGAATTATAAAATATTAAAACAAAAGAGTTGTAACGAAATATTTTAATAATTATAATAGAGTTGTAATTTATTTAATATAATTGTAAGCCATTGAGTAACTAAGTAAGAGTATAAGACAATTCATAAAAAAATTCAAGGCTTAGAGCCTTTTATTTTATTAATAGAACTTTCAACTTTCACATACAAATACAATTCTTTTGAAGAAAAGAGGAGTTTTTGGCCAATATTGTCTCTTATCTTTGAGGGTAGGTCTATTTTGGTCCCTCAAATATAGCCCTAAGCATATTTAGTCTCTTAAGTATGCTAAAGTGGAGCACCTTTAGTCTCACTGACACAATGTGTTCAAAAACTAACAGTGTTACCCAACTCTGATTTATGAAGCAAATCTTTTGCTCTGAAGCAAAATGTTCCCTCTCCTTTTATTGGATAACGCAAATTATCACTTTAATTCCTCATGTATAAAATTTATATTTTTTTGTATATATATACATTTAAAAATTTTGGTTGATTTTTTCAAAAAGAAAAGTTAAATTTTTTTNTTCTGGCACGGAATAAAAGTGATAATACAACCTGGTTATTCGTTTGCTTCAATAATATGCCTAGCAACTCTATTTTTTTAAAATTTTAACTTTTCTTTTTGGAAAAATCAACCAAATTTTTTAAATGTATATATATATAAAAAAAAATATATAAATTTTATACATTTTTTAGGCTATTATTTTTCCAGCGGCTATACAGTATTATTTTCTCATTAAAAACTGGCACAGAAAGGGATATTTTCAAGGTCAAAATTTTAGAAGACATTATCTAAAAATGAGGAATTAAAGTGATAATTTGTGTTATCCAATAAAAAGAGAGGAAACGTTTTGCTTCAGAGGAGAAGATTTGCTTCATGAATCAGAGTTGGGTAACACTGTTAGTTTTTGAACATATTGTGTCAGTGAGACTAAAGGTGCTCCACTTTAGCATACTTAAGGGACTAAATATGCTCAGGATTATATTTGAGGGACCAAAATAGATTTGCCCTTAAAGATAAGGGACAATATTGGTCAAAAACTCAAGAAAAGAGCACTTAATCTACGCAGCCACCTTTAGAAGGGTTCTGTTTGACAGTTTGACTTAGTAGCTTCTAAGCATCCAATTACAAATTATTGTACTAATATTTGTAAGCTCCTTACAAATTATCATACTTCAACATTACGCTTACCCCTTGCAAGGCCGTTGCCCAATGGCTCTATTTAAAAATAAAAATAAAAATTCACGTGGGACAGGCGGGACGGGACGGGCTAAACGGGACAAAATGAGCAGCCCGTCTCATCCTGTGTACCGTTTAATATGTGCCCATCCCGTTTAGAACTAAGTGGGCCGGGACGGGATCGGGACCGGGACGTCCCGTTGGACAGCCATAGCTCAGCCACGGGCTCACACCCTTAGTAGGATGATCAGTCGATAGTGAAAGAATTACATATGTGTATCAATACGATCTTTTATCACTTCCATATAAGTTAATGTTTCTCTATTTTGGTTTGCAATAAAAAAAAACCATCTTGTTATTATGATTAGAAAAGAATTTGCAAAACACCACGAGGTAATTAAAGAGATGTATGTAAGCATTGCAATATTCTGAATTCATGAAAAGAGTGAAAAAGCAAATACCTTTACAAAAAGTGAGTGGTTGAATAAATTTCCTGCTTCCGCTGTACCAAAGGTAGATCAAAACTCATAGTGATCATTTCACATGTCCACCAAAGGTGGTGGCTCCCCTCTTCTTCATTATATATATACACACTTGAAAATAATAAGCAAATACATATGAAGTAAAGTCTTAAAACTCGACCGTCCTAGACCCAAATCCGTGCATAAGCGAAGCTACATTGTCACAATATTTGGACACCATTTAAACAATTATGTAGATGTCATTGGCTTGCTCAACCTCGAAAACTAATGTAATATGCATGCAACCAATGTTGTAATAAGAAAATGGCAAAATATATAAGTTATCTCCTAAACTATGGACCAAATTACCGTAACATACTTTTTACTAATGTTATATTACATACTCAACTTTTTCTGAGTATACCTAAGACACGAAAATTTGATCCATAGTTCAGAGGATATCTTATAGTCATACATTCATAAAGAAAGTAGGAAAGGAATATCTCACAAATTTGAAAAAAATTGAAGAGTGAAAAAGTCAGTGTTGAACAATGCAATGAGAAGCGCTGTTGTTTTGTCAGGATACATATCATGTTCATATTACCTGTGGGGACTTTGAATTATTTCTTCTCAATTAATGAGAAAAAGAAAGAAAAGAGTGAGGGGTTGGGAAGAAGAAAAAGGGTTCTCTTGGATCCTCTTGTTTTGCAAAAAGGGCCCTCTAATACACAAGTAAATGACCTTTTTTCTTGCCTACTTTTGACTCCATGCATGTGTCCCTCATCAATGTTTTGACTATCATTATTTAACCCTAGGATATGTTTAACACCCTTTCTAATTTTCGGCTGCGGACTCAATTTTGACTAAGAAAAATTAAAATATAACAAAAATAAATATATAAAAAAAAGTCAAAGAGATTCAATATATAGAACATAAAAAATATTACCTAGCTATACAATATTATATTCCGGCGAAAAGATGTCAATTGACAACCTTTGGACAAAGGTGGCTCCGCCGCTACTAATACCCTCGTCTTTGTTTCACACTTCTGTAGTTCTGTTCAAAGGGCAGCCGTACTCCAAGCCCAAGGGATATGATGTACGAAGCATCGATTGATTTCACGGCTCGAACTCATAGGTTAGACGAAGACAATTTTACTAATATAGTTTCTTTGCAGTTCTGTTTGCACCATTTTAATGAGTAGCAAGTATAACCATACTACAAAATCTCCCCAAAGATATCTTTATTGAGGAAAGCTGATCAATGACTATAAAATAATGTTTACTAGCTAGAATCTCTGTTACTCCCTAAAACAAGTAAAGAAGATACCTTTGGGATTTTAATCATTAGGTGCTGCGAAGACTAGCCACATAAGTTTACTTAATTAAAAAGTACATAATTAATAGCAATATATGGTTACATTCTTTACTTCATATCTTCAATAGTATTTAAAGGAACTAATATTTAATATTGTTACATTATACTAACAAAACTTCACTCGATAATCTCACGAGGATTCCTTCCTCTTCCTAATTCTCCTTCTCCATATTCCTTGTCATTTCTTTCAAAATAAAAACAAAAAACATTTGCTTTACATAATTTAATTATAAGCTAGCAAATATTGGGACCAAATCCCACAAAACCATTTGCTCCATCAAAAGAAATTTGGATGCCTTCTTGTTGGATATTTCCTATTATGGAAAGTCCTGATGCTGATGGAGCAAATGCAAAGCAGAATGTACCCTTATCATTCACTGGAATTAGAAAGTTTCTAGCTGGAAGGGTTAGTATTTGCCCACCCATGAGGAAAAATGAAACGGTTGGTACCCGAACCGTCACGAACCCGTTTAGATCGTAACACGTGTCGAATATTGAGATTGCGGGTGCCCGAGGAAGGCTAGCGGTTTCTGCTAAGAATGCATCTCGAAACGCCACATACACTACCGCAGGAAACCTTGTCACGGCTGTCCCAGTGTCCATGACCACTCCACCATCTCCGAGCTCGGTTATCTTAAATACTTCCTCTGATATCGGTACTTGAGCATCTCCGATTCCAAGACCCGTTAACCCGATATAGTAGAAACTCGGGGCCAGTGGATTTCGGATCAAGGGTACCCATGCTGCACCCACGGGTAATACTCTGCGACCGAACTCAAGCGACCCGGTTGATTCGGTGCCCCGACTCACTAAACAATAACTAAATGCCCCACCCGTTTGCCCACCAAGTTGGCCCACAAGTGACATGGACCCACCACCAAGTCCCAACAAACCAGCAGCTGCAGTAAACATGCCACTATTGCTATGTCCACACCCAATAGCCACATTTTTAACCATATTATGACCAAAAGTAAGTGTTTCAATAGCAATTGTACCTCTAGTGTACGAACCATCACCGTATAGAACCTCATACTTGCACCGACCCGCATGACAACCCGAATTCTCAACCCGATCACAAACCGACGAACCACAAGATACCCCGGCAAATGATCCGGAAAGAGACGGGTCGAATACCGGGTCGGATTGGTGATAGCATTGGGTACAGGGCTGACACTGTACCCAAACAATATCACTGCCAGAATCAATAACCATGTATTGGTTCCTAGCTGGACTACCTACACCAATCCTAACAAAATATTCACCACTTCCTTGATCCATACCCGAAACTACATCCGACCCGAATTCCTCGACCCGATACCCATTTCCACCACCAGTGATTCTGTGAATGAGACTAGACACCCTTTTCACATCTCTTTTCATGCGAGCTTCAAACATTTTGCTATGGTTAGAGAAATAATTGGAAAAGTATAATTTATCTCTGTGAATTAGCTTGAGCTTCAAGTTTCTCTTTTCTTCTCCATTTTCATCATCAAAATGAAAGTCTTCTTCTTGTTTTTCATGTGGGGTTTGGATTTTTGTAGCTAATTGGGAAATGGTTTCTTGAACATTGAAATTTTCATGAGTGGGATATGGGAATAGTGCATGGGCAGTAGTTGAGTTCTTGATTTCACTTGCAGTTGTTGTATTTGTGGCAGCAGAGAAAATGACCACAATTAGCAAAACTAGTATTTGTTGTAAGGGGACAAACATTTCTTGTTTGTTTAAATTTTGGGAGGTGACAGAAGTTGAGAGACTTATTTGTTTAAGGGTTTTGGGATGTGAACAAGAAAAAAGATTTTAGAGGTGGTATATAGAATGGTGATTGTGGGGTTGGAGAAGAGACTTTGGCCCAGTTTTGGAGGGTGAAAGGAAATAATTGAAATGATGCGGTCTCTATATGCTACTTCCTCTGTGCGAGAAATTGAAATTTCTAGAAAAACTTTTTAATATTGAATGTGAATTTGGATACATAATCTCTAAATTTTTGAAAATAAAATTTATATATTTGGGAACTACGTAAAAAGTACTATAGGGTAAAAAATAATTCGTTTGACTCTCGAAATCTATACTCCGCCATATAAATTCGGACGGAGGGACTACTAGATATATACATTATATTCATTTTTTAATTTAAATTATATAAGTGAATAGCATATTATAACAAGTTATTTATCATACTTTACAGATTATTAAATCATGTGTTATCAAATGTTACTTGTAATAGGTTTTTCAGTGATAGAAAAATGTAAACAATTTTATATTAGTGTATAGAAGTTAAATTTTTTGTACTTTTGGATGGTTGTGAATTTGGGAGGGAAGTGTCTTTTGCTGTCTGCTGAATATTGTGTGCCTTTGCTTTTTCTTTGATAATCAGTATAAAAGCTATTGATTGAACATCAAAAGTAACAAGGAGTGGCGAAATAAGATTGAAAAATAACATTTTCTTTCATAATTTAGGCGCAGATATAATAATTTATAAAGTTTTTCTTGACTTTTTAAAGGATGAAGATCAAAATGTGATACTGGATGAAATTTGTTCTCGGTATTATCCAAAAAATTGTATTTGGCTGAGCCGATGGTCTCTTGGAAACATCATTTGTATCTGCATAAGGTAGAGATAAGATTTGCGTACACACTATCTTCCAAAAAATTGACCTAAGAAAATAAATATTACTAATCTAATCCTTAAGGTTTAAAAAAGAATGTTTGTAATTGTGTTACATACTCACATTCAGAGTACGAGAATTCTAATTGGGGTGAAAACTCAGAGTTCCTTTTTTTTGTTTGTGTAAAAGAGAAAAAGAGACAAAATAACATTTTATACAAAGCAGTGATTTTTACTACGTTTTCAATTAATATTTGGCACAGAGATTTACCTGTAATTTTTTTATAAATAAATTTGATTGTACAAACATTGTGAGCGCATAAAACTTAAGCTAGATTAGAATGTGATTATTGATCACTACTTTTTTCTTAATCGCCCTAGTTTGGTAAAAGTATCATTATTTAACCATTGATATGAACTTTAGCCATTACAATCCCTTGGACAAAATGATCTTTTGTTTAAGAAAGTGACAAAATGATTACCTCAGTGTAATGTAATGACTTGTTTGACTATTAAGAGATTCTCCACACATGTTACGTATTTTATCTCTCTAATCAAAGTAGTGTGTAAAGAAAGTTCTTTAAAAGTGAAAGAAATAAGCACACGACAATAGACAAAATTAATTACCTTAAGGTTAAATACTTTCTGGTCAAAGTAATGTTATTATCAAGGATTTGGTATAGATTTTATACCTGATAGGTTATGTATCATGTTATGTTTTGATGATCTAACAAACTTAATGATAAGAACCAGATACGGAACATGTTTCACATCCTCAACGTGCTCAAGATCAACAAGTCTCAAGTCTGGGACATACTCCAACACTCCGAGTCAAAGAAACAACAGAGGGAACAAATGGACATCAGTTCTCTTGTTGACTGTACCAGTCAATTTCCCACAGCTGTAAAGTCGATGCAACTGTTCCCCATGTACACATGCAACAATGCAAACAGTGCAACAGTCACTTTATGGGGAATGCCCTTGTACCAAATATGCTTGCATCATTCAAGTGATGTCACTCGTGTAATATTAACATGAAGCAAAGGGAAAACAAAGCATTTGCACATTCCAGATTTCATCAAGTTTCCTCTCAAAGTGTGTCGCGGACTTGCAAGTGATTTCCAGGCTTCAAGAACAAAGAATAACATAACGAAGGATCAGTTTCTAGTATTGTATCATCACCTTTCCCTAGTTGTGTTGTACATTTGTCAGTGTGATTTAATTGTAATTCCTACTTAACTTAGTTAGAAGCATTGTGTAGGAAACAAATTATAAAATCATAAACCTTGTGTTTGTGTCTTGGCTAGAGTTAGTTGAGTTGTGAACTTTGTAATAGAGTTATCACAAAGAGGCTTGTAATAGATTTATTACAAGTGAGTGAGGGATTAAGGTTTTAATTCTTAGGTTACAATAGGTTATAATCTGAACTTGCTCGGTTAGTGAAGTTGAAATCCTACAAGTGTAGGTTGTGGTTTTTATTCCAGTGAGCTGGGAGTTTTCCATGTAAAAACTCTGTTGTGTCATTTATTTATCTCTTTGTATGTGTTCTGTGGGAACTGATAGAGAACCCGGTTCTCTATACAGTTTGGTGGACCCTCAGTTTCTATCAATTGGTATCAGAGCGGGTTTTTTCTATCTGGCTAAAACATAGAAAGGATCCTCATTGCTGCTCCACCAAACTTTGAAGAAAGTCAATCTACCTACAGACTACCAAGATTCAATGGACAATACTACGGATGGTGGAAGACAAGGATGCATGATTTTATCATGGCTGGAGATTCAGAGCTCTAGGATGTTATCTGCTATGGTCCTTTCGTTCCCATGAAGACCATTGTTGAACCAACAGTGACAGTTCCCAAGACAAGGAAGGAGTACAGCGATGTTGATCGCAAGGCTATAAAGAAGAACTTTCGAGCAAAAACAATCCTCGTCTGTGGTATTGGACCAGACGAATACAATATGATTTCTGCCTGTCAATTTGCCAAGGATATATGGGAAGCTCTCCAAACAGCACACGAAGGGACAACTCAAGTCAAGCAGTCGAAAATTGATATGTTAACCACTGAGTATGAACTCTTCAGGATGAAGGATGATGAGTCCATTAAGGACATGCACACTCGCTTCACCTCTATCATCAATGGGCTCCATTCTCTGGGAGAAATCATTCTAAGGAACAAACTTGTCAGGAAAATACGTAGTGTATTACCTGGTTCCTGGGAAAGCAAAGTAAATGCTGTCACTGAGGCAAAGGATCTACAAAAGATGACCATTGATGAACTCATTAGTAATCTGAAAACTTATGAAATGAAGAAAAAGAAGGATCACACGAGAAGAGAGCCCAAAAGGGAGAAGAACCTGGTCCTCAAGACAGACAACAATGACTCAAGTAGTGAGGATGCTGATATGGCTTACTTGACAAAGAGATTTCAGAAGAAGGTTCGCAGAAATAGAGGCATTCCAAAAAGGGGCAGATCCAGCAAGCCAAGAGGGTATGACTTATGTCATAAGTGCGGGAAGCCAGGACATTTCATCAAGGATTGTCCTCTCCTCAAGCAAGACCAGTACAAGCACAACACAGACAAAGCAGCCAAAAGGAACCCGGTTGCTGACAAAAGATTCAAGAGAAAAGATGTCGCTGACAATGTTGTGAAACAAGCTCTTGCTGCATGGGGATACTCTTCCAGCGAATCTAGAGGAGATGATGAACAAGGTGACAACTCCATGATGGCAGTTAAAAGTGAAGCAGTTGACTACGATTCTATCTTTGCCCTGATAGCAAAATCTGACAATGATGATGAGGTAAACTTTCTAGACGTTCAAAGAAATCTGAAGTCTTACTTTGAGAAAAAGCTTATATTTGTGGAAAATATTTTAATTGATGCTTATCACAATCTTATAAATGATAAAAATGCTTTAACTATAGAGTTGGGAGAGATAGAAAACGAGAGAGATGATTTGGTAATAGCAGTGGCTGACCTAAAAGAAACCATCGAGGATCTAATAAAAGAAAAGATTGCTCTGATTAAAAAAGGTGAAGACATAGAAAATGAGAGAGATGAATTATTGGTAGTCGTCAAGGACCTAAAATAAACAATAGAGAAATTAAAAAGGGGAAACAATTTTAGGACTGTCCAAAATGAAAAGGAAGTTACAAGTGAGGCACACATTAAACTTGAAAATAAACTCAAATCCGTGAAATCTAGTATGTGTGTTGAACTTGAAACTGAACTTGAAAGAAACAGATAACTTCAAGAAGATCTAGACAGAGTTAAAAATGACCTAGAAAAATCTCTAAAGTGGACCTGGTCCTCTGATACAATTATTGCCATGTATACAAGCAATGGTGGGAACAGACAGGAAGTCGGGTTCCAAAAGGAAAAGACTCCCTACAATCCACATAGCAAGTATGTTACTGTCTCTGATAACTGACTTTGCACTCACTGTGGCAACACTGGTCACTTTAAAAAAAACTATAAGGCTAGAATTCAGTCCCAACAGAAAAACAAGGTTTTTATTAAAAAAGTAGTCGATGCTGAGGAACCTGGTCCCTCCGTTAAAAAACGTGTATTGCCTACCTGAATAAAAAGAAGCAGCCAAAAATGGTACATGGATAGTGCCTGTTCTAAGCACATGACTGGAAGCATCAATGATTTCCTTTCACTCAAAGCCCTACAAGGAGGGAGTGTGTCCTTTGGCAATGGCAAAAAGGGATATATTCTGGGAGTAGGAAGAATTGGGAGGTCACTCACTCACTCAATTGAAAATGTGTACTATGTGAATGGCTTGAAATATAGACTACTAAGTGTCTCCCAAATCTGCGACAAAGGAAACAAAGTGAAATTTGTGTCAAAAGTCTACACAGTCACAAATCTTGTGACTGGAGAAGTGATCCTGATGGCAAAAAGATACAAAAAAAATTGTTGCTGATTTTATGTCCTTGCAAAATGGGGACCTCACATGTCTGAGTGTTGTTGGTGATGATGCTGAACTATGGCACATAATATTGGTTCATGCAAGTTTTACTTTGCTTAACAAATTGGTCAAGACGGACCTGGTTCGTAGCATGCCTAAGTCAAGCTTCAAAAATCACAACTTGTGTGATGCATGTGTAAAAGAAAAACCAGTCAGGTCCTCCTTCAAGTCCAAAAAGGAAGTCAGTACCTCAAGGCCACTTGATATTCTCCATATGGATCTGTGTGGGATATGAGGGTGCCAAGTAGAGAAGGAAAGAAATGCA